CCACCTCAGCCTTCCAAAGGGCTGGGATTACAGGCGTGAGCCACTGTGCCTGGTGTAATTTTTGTATTTCTTGTAGAGACAGTGTCTCGCTGTGTTACTCAGAATGGTCTCACTCCTCGGCTCAAGCAGTTCTCCAGCCTCAGCCTCCCAAAGTGCAGGGATTACCGCTTTGAGCCAGTATCTATTACAGAGGCTTACTCTGTCTCCCAGGCTGGACTGCAGTGGCACAATCTCAGCCCGCTTCAACCTCTGCCTCCCAGGTTCAAGCGATTCTCCTGCCTCAGCCTCCAGAGTAGCTGGGACTACAGTCGCCCACCACCATACCCAGCTAAAGTTTATATTTGTAGTAGAGAAGGGGTTTCTCCACGTTGGCCAGGCTGGTTTTGCACTCCTGCCCTCCCATAGTGGGGGAATTATGGGCGTGAGGCACTGTGCCCAGCCTGTCTTTATTGAGTACCCACTGTGTGGTGGCCATTATTCCTTAAGCTGGGGTACAGTGGTGAACAAAATGACTTTGAGGTACTCGCTTTGTGGCTGGGTGTGTCTTACATTTATAGATATACTTGTGAGCTGTCTCTTTTTTTTTTTTTTTTGAGACGGAGTTTCGCTCTTGTTACCCAGGCTGGAGTGCAATGGCACGAGCTCGGCTCACCGCAACCTCCGCCTCCTGGGTTCAGGCAATTCTCCTGCCTCAGCCTCCTGAGTAGCTGGGATTACAGGCACGCACCACCATGCCCAGCTAATTTTTTGTATTTTTAGTAGAGACGGGGTTTCACCTTGCTGACCAGGATGGTCTCGATCTCTTGACCTTGTGATCCACCCGCCTCGGCCTCCCAAAGTGTTGAGATTACAGGCGTGAGCCACCGTGCCCGGCCTTGTGGGCTTTCTCTAGCTGCCACTGGACTCAGGATACACAGCAGGGGCTCATTCAGGACTGGGCGGCTGCATGAGTTCACTGGAGCCGTTCAGACCCCTGTGCCCCCTGAGCTGTGCCTCTGTCCCCAGATCTACCAGAGCCTGTTTCTGCGGGGCCTGTCCCTGGTGGGCTGGTACCATAGCCACCCACACAGCCCGGCGCTGCCGTCCCTGCAGGACATCGACACGCAGATGGACTACCAGCTGCGGCTTCAGGGCTCCAGCAACGGCTTCCAGCCCTGTCTCGCCCTACTCTGCTGTATGCCACTGGCTGGGGCTGTGGGAAGCTTGAGAAGGGGGGTTGCTGGGCCACCCAAGCCCCCGCAGACCCAGCCCCTCTCCCCCTCTCCTCCACCAGCTCCTTACTACTCTGGCAACCCAGGCCCCGAATCCAAGATCTCACCTTTCTGGGTGATGCCTCCTCCCGAGGTAGGTGGGGCTGCCCTGGGGGCCTGGGGTGCCCAGGGTGGGAGTACCTGGGCATTTCGGTCACAACTAGGTGGCGGCCCCCGATTCCAGGCTCCACTGGAGCATTGGGGCCCTGGTTTCTCCATCTGTGAAATGGGGACGTGACTGCTGCCGGGCTGAGGCTTCAGTGAGCCTGGGCATGGGGCCTCTGTGTGTAGTTTGCTGCTGAGTACCAAGAGGGCTCCCATCCTGAACCCTGCCTGGCTTCATTCCCTAAGCCCTGAAGTCAGAGGTCAGCCCTGGAAAGTAATTTCAGGGCCCTGGCTCTCTTCTGGGCCTCTCTCAAGAGGGAGGATGCTACCCTGCCTCCCTGGTCCCACCGCCAGGTGTCAGTCCGAGTGCAGAGCTGGGCTGGGGTATGCACTCCCATTCCCAGCCCGGGCACTGTCCATTGTCCCCAGCTGCCATGGGCTGGGGGCTGGAGAGGCTTCTCTGACTGACCTGTGTCCCTACCAGCAAAGGCCAAGTGACTACGGTATCCCTATGGACGTGGAGATGGCCTACGTCCAGGACAGCTTCCTGACCAATGACATCCTTCACGAGATGGTGAGCTCGCTGCAGGCAGGGGCTGGCAGTGCACAGCAGGGTACGCAAGATGTGCGGGTCTCCTCCCCACTGGTGGGCTCAGGAAGCTATGGCTGGTGGCGCCTTGGGGGCCTGGGTCAGAGCTTTTTCCATCCCTCTCAGGACAGAGTTCCAGGTCCTTGCCACGGCCCCTCCCTCATCTACTGCCTGCTATTCTCCAAGGGGCTGGCCTCTTCTGCCAGGCTCTCCAGTGGAGCAACCCCAGTGACTTTGGTGGTACCTGGATGAACACTTAACAGTTACACATTCAACATTCATAAACTGGACTAGACACAGTGGCTCCTGCCTGTAATCCCAGCACTTTGGGATGCTGAGGCGGGTGTATCACCTGAGGTCAGGAGCTGGAGACTAGGCTGGCCAACATGATGAAACCCGGTCTCTACCAAAATGCAAAAAGTAGCCAGGCATGGTGGTGGACTCCTGTAGTCCCAGCTACTCCAGTGGCTGAGGCAGGAGAATCGGTTGAACCCGGGAGGTGGAGGTTGCAGTGAGTCAAGATGATCCCAGTGACAGAGTGAGACCCCATTTCGGGAAAGAAACAGCAAAACCCAAATTAGTTCATCAAACTGTGGCCTCATAGGTGTCACTGCTGGGACGAGGGGGACCAGGGGCCATGTCAGGCTGGTGTGGTTCTGGAGAACTGGGCTCAGTGAGTGCAGGTCCCAGTGGGCCTGTCGTGGCAGCCACTTGGGTAGCGCAGGTGCCTCCCCCTCCCCAGAGCACTCCTGGCCTTAAGCCAGGTGAGCCTCCAGCTAAGGTCGCTCCTGGTCTCCATGGTTATCTGTTAGCGTCTCGAGCCTGCCTGAGACTGGAACCCAGGAGAGGGGCCGGTGCACCCTGGGCAGGGAGGGAGCCTGGGAGTACATGCTGCCCTGTCCTGCAGATGCTGCTGGTGGAGTTCTACAAGGGCGCCCCTGACCTCGTGAGGCTCCAGGAACCCTGGAGCCAGGAGCACACCTACCTTGACAAGCTGAAGGTGAGCCCCACATCCCCTGCAGACCTCCTAATGTGGCCCCAGGAGAGGCCACTGGGGCAGCCTAAAAGGTGGCAGTAGTGAACCCCATGGGTCCAGCTGGCAGAATACACCTGACCCTGGTCACCCCAAGGCCACCCCAGCAGGGTGCAGGCCAGGTTTTATTGGATTGTGGAACTTTAAGCCCTGGCAGCACTTGACAAGGTCCTGGCAGCGGGTTTTGGGAGTGGCTCCCTGCAGAGGGCCCAGGATCCTGGGATGTTTGCCTAAGGGCCTGGTGTCCCTGAGTGTCTAACGGCAGTTCCTGCTGTCACCCTACCCTGCAGAGAAAGGGGCTTCTTCTGCTTAGCTCTCGGCTGGCTCTCAAGGCTGTGATGTCGCCATGAGTGTCTGGGACCCAGGCAGGGTAGGGCTGAGGTGAGGGCAGGATCGGGAACCTCCATGTAAGCCCCACACCTCCACACAGCACTGCCACCCCCAGGAGCCAGGTCCTTTTGTTACATACCACCCCTCTGGCTTAGCAGCAGGCTGTGTCGTGGGACCCTAGCCCTGTCCCTTGGTCCCAGGGGGACTCAGCCAGGCTGCTGGACTTGGACAGTGAGGTGTGGGGCTGGCCAGGACCCCTGGGCACAGCCTGAGGCCCAGCCCTCTCGTTTCAGATCTCCTTGGCCAGCAGGACGCCTAAGGACCAGAGCCTGTGCCACGTGCTGGAGCAGGTGTGCAGTGTCCTCAAGCAGGGGAGCTGAGCCTCCCAGGGCAGGGTGGGCTCCAGCTGGGCTCAGGTAATAAAGAAATGGAAGCAGCAGCCAGCCACGCTGGTCTCCCCAATGCTAGAGTGAGGGTGGCTGGGTGCCCAGGCGCCCAGGCTGAAACCATCACCCCTGCTTCCAGGGCATCAGGGCTTCCTTAACCCCTGCACCCGGGAACTGGTGCAGGAGCCTCAGGGCCAGTCCCACCCGACTCAGGCTCTGCAGCACGTGTGGGGCACAGGGGACCTGCTGGGGTGTGGGTGGCAGGCCTGCCTCTGCACCAAGATGAGGCAAGGGGCTGTAGAAAGAGACATTTAATACTTCTGTTTACAAAATTCAGGTGTACATTTCAGTTTGCCCTGGACCATGCCCAAGGCTGTGTACTCATTTGTACTGGGGTGTCTGCCCCTCATGTACTGCTGACAAGGGGGGTGCAGAGTAGAGCCTGGGGTCCAGAGGCTTTGCCAGGCCACAGGAGGAGGGGAATGTGAATGTGGCCTGGCCCAGAAGACCCCCCTATTTCAGCGATTTTTGGATTGGGCAACAGAGGAAGCAGATGTTGGGGCTGCGGCCCTGCTGGTCTGGGCAGGGGTCTCAGGGGGCTGCCTGCCTCGGTCTAGAGGAAAGGGCTGGGCCACTTCCCACAGGGTGGGGTGGGGTTGCAGTGGCTCAGTAAGGGGAGGCCTGGCCACCAGGTACTGGAAGATTTCACTCACTGGAGCCTTTGTGCTTGGCCCTCAGCAGCAGGGCTGGGGCCGTGGTCCCATGTTAAGTGTAAGGTGTGCTAGGGGGTGTGTCAGTAGCTGGTGGTGGCAGCTTGTGCCTGAGTGACACAGGCCTCCGTGGGCCTGGCTGGGGGCAGTTAAAAAGTTGAAAAGGTACTTGAGGGCGGGGCCTGGGAGCTTGGGGCCCTGTAGGAGGCCATTTTCTCTGTCCTCAGGCCGAGCTACCCCAAGGATCACAGGTGGCCTCTGTCCCCAGGCTGCAGAAGGAGAGTGTGTGTGTGTGTGTGTGTGTGAGTGAGGTGAGGGTGCAGGGGCTCTGGAGTGGGACCCGGGCCCATCACCAGCACCAGGCTGGGAGGGGATTTAAAACCAGGATTTAAGCCAGGCGCAGTGGCTCACTTTGGGAGGCCGAGGCAAGCAGATCGTGAGGTCAGAAGTTCGAGACCAGCCTAACAGAGAAACCCCGTGTCTACTAAAAAAATAAAATTAGCTGGGCATGGTGGTGCAATCCCAGCTACTGGGGAGGCTGAGGCAGGAGACTCGCTTGAACCCGGGAGGTGGAAGTTGCAGTGAGCCGAGATCACACCACTGCACTCCAGCCAGGGCAACAAGAGCGAAACTCTGTCTCAAAAACCAGGGTCCTGGCTGAGCCACCCCACAGGGACACTCAATCCCATCCTGTTAAGGCTATAGGACTCGAGGGCAGGCAGTGGGCCGGGCCCCCATGGGATCAGGACGGAGGTGGGGGCTGCCCAGAGGAACTTTAGTGTTTCTGAGAGCACCGTAGTGTTGCCCCGCCTCGGCCAGCTGGGCGAGGAGTTGGGGAGTGGGGAGGAGGCCGGCGCCATGGAGTTGGGAAGGAAGCCATCACCACTGGGGGTCAGGGCTAGCGTAAACAGGCCTCCCCACCCACCCAGATAAGCCCCCCAACCCAAGTGTGGGGCCCTGCTCAGGGAGTACCTCAAAGGCACCGGCAGGCTGGGACACCGCCCTGGCAGCAGGGCCCCCGTTGAATGCAGGAGACCCAGCAGGGGGTGGCGGCCAGTGTGGACGGAGGGGCAGGGTGTGGTCACAGGCAAGTCACTGTGGCAGGGGCACGAGCACCTCCACGTAGCTGAGTGGGAAGAAGCCCGACTGGCCGTCCAGCATGCCCTCATACCAGTTCTCATCGATCTGGTTGGTCAGCGTGATGACGTCGCCCTCACGGAAGCCCAGCTCTCCGTCATTCTCAGGCTCGAAGTCATACAGCGCCTTGCAGCTTGGCTGGTCCAGGGGTGCTGGGGGTGGGAACGGGCTGTGGGGCTAGCGCGTAGGCCGGGGCTCCTACACCCTACCCCATGCAGCCTAGGGTCTCAACTCAGACCTGCCATGGCCTGGAGCCTATGGGTGGGTGGAGGACACCCGCTGCCACTTCTGGGGTCCTGCCTCTACTGCTGCCCAGGAGGGAGGATGGGGGAGTCTTTGTAAATGGTCACCACAGCTGCTCCTGGGAGGTACTAGGGACACCCACTGCTGCTGGGGTGACAAGGAATGACCAGATACCCTCAGCCCTTGCAGGCACCACACAGCCTAGAGCTGGGCTGATGCCTTTGGCAGACACAGCAGCGGGAACACGGCAGTCCCTCATTCACACAGTGAGGCTGAGACCCAGAGGGGTGGCGTCTTGCAAGGTGTGGGCCTGTGCCCGTGCCTGGCTCCTTGCTTGGGTTGGGCAGAGGACCAGGGTGGGAGGCAGAAGGCAGCACTGAGGCTGTGGTGAGCCTGGGACACTCACGCATGCTCCTGCTAGGGGTCCGGATCGGCTTGTCAGAAGATCGGAAAGACGACGAAGCTAAACGCAAACAAAACGCAGTGGCTGTGCGCTCAATATGGTCGGACAGGGCCTCTTCCGCAGCAGACTCAGACCAGCCCTTGCCATCCACCTTGGTGGTCCGGATGGGCTGAGAGCTGCGCCCAGGGGCCTGGCGCACAGAGACCCGAGACAGGCCCAGCCCTCAGCCACCCCCGCCCGCTGGCATCCACCTCCAGAAGATGGCTCCACGCCCCATTACCTGTGATCTTGGGGGCTGAGGAACAGGGGAAGCCCCCGTTGGACTGCTCAGGCTCTCCAAGGTCAAAGGGCTCCCGGGGCTTGGGCTTATATTCCCGCTTGGGGCGAGAGGAAGCTTCCCGCATCCTGTGAAGGGAGAGACAGCCCCACCCTTGTGTTTACACTGTTGCCTAATGACCTGGCCTGGGAGAGGGTGGCAGTGGGGTGGTGACACCCAAACTCTGGAACATGACTTGACTGGGAAGTCTACCCATAGGGCCTCCAGTCTGGACCCCCACCTTGGGGGCGCCTCAGAGGCTGGCAAGCAGCTGTGTTCTGCTACAGCCTCTACCTGCAGTGCCCCCAGTCACATGCCTCCTGCCTCCTCCCTATGTTCCCTACCATAGCTGGTGCCTGACACACGCAAAGGCCCTGAAGCAGGTTCAGAGACAGGAGCCTGGGTGTCCCTGAGGCAGCCAGGGTACTTTCCCCAGAAAGTACAGCCAGGGAGGAGACAGGCACGTGATCAGGAGTCTGAGGGCCTGCATTGGGGGTAGGGCTTGGTGTTTCACAGTTCTCAGACCCCTGGCTCCTCTGACCTCAAAGCCCTCAGTCCTCTGGGAACCAGCCCCTCCCTGGACTTGACCCTGGCACAGTGCCCAGGAAGAATCCAGGGCACTGTTCTGCCAGGCACTTACTAGAGCAAGGTGTGCTGCCCACACCCGCCGGCAGAGGGCGCGTGGCAGCACAGGGCCCCGGCTCACCTGCGCTTGAGCTTCTCGGCCAGCTCATCCAGGATCTGTACGGCCTGCCGGTGGTAGTCCAGCTGTGCGTCCACCAAAGCCGAGAGCTGACTCACCTGCTCGATCTGAAGGGACAGCAGGGCTTAGGGGCTTCTGCCAGCACAACTGTCCTGTGCCCACCCTGACTCTGAGGTAAAGCCATAGGAGGCAGAGGGGCCTGGGGCCTGCATCCTCAACTGCCCCTGCTGCAGCGGCCAGATTGCTGCCACCGCCATCCTTCAACTCCCTTGAGGCCGCCACCCCGGCCTCCCAAGGACGTGGCGCCCCAGAAACTCACGTCTGTCTCCAGGAGGTTGTGCATGCTGGTTTCTGCCACCTCCTTGGACTCCTCAAACTTCTCCAGTGCCTGGCGCAGCTCTTCGTCAGGGATCTTGCCCTGCCGCTTCTTCTTGTAGTCGAAGTCCAGGCGGCGGCCCTCCAGCTTCTTCAGGTGGTGCTGGGGACAGTGGGGGACACAGATCACACCAGCAGCAGCTGGAGGGCTGCCCCATACATGGCGTGACCCGCCGTCCCTGCACCATCAGGACTCGCCTGCCTGAGCGTGACCCAGAGGGCAGTGCTGAAGCTGGAGTGAGGTGAGGGTGGCAGAATGGGGCCCGCCCCATCCAGCAGGACGAAGGGACAGGCCTGGGGCTGGTGCAGGGGCAGCACCTGGATCTCCTTCAGGTCTTTCTCGCACAGGTTCTGGAGAGGGTCGATGAAGTTCTGCTTGACCTCTATGTCCAGGGAGTCCTTCACCTCCGCCAGGCGCTTCATAGACTCGCCAGCGTCCAGCAATGCATCACCTGTGGAGAAGCAGTGGGGGGAGCTGTCACAGTGGACCTGGGACCGCTGGACTGAGACTCTCCTTAGCTTTTGTTTTTGAGACAGGGTCTTGCTCTGTTGCCCAGGCTGGAACGCAGTGGTGCAGTACCACCTAACCACAGCCTCCAACTGGGCTCAAGCCATGCTGGCACCTCAGCTTCCCAAGTAGCTGGGACCACAGGTGTGCACCACCACATCCAGATCCTTCCCCACTACTACTATTTTTTTTTTTTTTTCTTAAAAGACAGGGTTTCACCACGTTGATCAGGCTGGTCTGGAACTCCGACCTCAGGTGATCCGCTCGCCTTGGCCTCCAGAGTGTTTGGATTATAGGCAATAGCCACCACGCCCGGCCATTTTTTTTTTTTTGGAGACAGAGCTTTGCTCTTGTTGCCCAGGCTGGAGTACAATGGTGCAATCTCAGCTCACCGCAACTTCCGCCTCCCCAGTTCAAGCGATTGTCCTGCCTCAGCCTCCCAAGTAGCTGGGATTGCAGGCATGTACCACTACACCTGGCTAATTTTTTATATTTTTAGGAGAGACAGGGTTCCTCCATGTTAAGTCAGACTGGTCTTGGAACTCCCATCCTCAGGTGATCCATCTGCCTCTGCCTACCAAAGTACTGGGATTACAGGTGTGAGCCACTGCGCCCTGCCCCCACACTCCAGGAACTCAGAGCAAAACAAAGGATCCTAAAATCCAAATCCAGGTGGGATGTTAAACCAGCAGCCCCTCCTCGTGCTCCTAAAAGGGCCCAGGTTTGCCCTCAACAGGCTGAAGGTGGTGAGAGGACAGATGCTGGGGGGTCCAGGCCCTGGGGAATCAACTAGCTTGAGCTGGGGAAGATCTGGAACCACAGCAAGGAGCCCTGTTGGCTGCTGGCCAGTGGCTGGTCAGTGCTGGATGGCTCTATCTGTGCAGTCCCCTGCAACTGGAAAGCTGTGAGGGCCACCATGCATCCCCAGGGCTCAGCACAGGCAGGGACTGGGTGGTGGATCAGACCTGGACCTGCCCTGCCTTGTGGGGGTGTGGCCTCCGGGGAGGGTAGGCGTGGCTTCTAGAGAGCAGTACTCACCAAAGTTGGACTCGCCCAGCTCCTTCCCATGGCGGATCATACACTCGCCCAGGAGCCCCTCTGACTGCGGATAACCAGGGTTCTTCACTTGGCCCCGAATTTTAGACACCGTGTTGAGCATGGTCAGCTTAGCCCGTGAGGCTGGAATAGGAAGGCCCAGTGGGAGTGGGCTGTGAGGCCTGCGCAGCCCCCACATCCCCTGCCCCACCCTCACTTCCTGTGCCTGCAACAGTCCAGGCCACACAAAGTACAGTGGAGGGTCCCTTCCCTGCTCCCACCAGCCTTGAAGGAGCTGGCAGCGCGTGGAGAGGTGACCAAGCTCCTTGGGGCAACACCACCTCCTTCTAAGGGCTGCTCCTCCCAGAACGTGGCTATGACCAGGAACCCCTCATCTAGGGGGGTGCCAGGAAGGCGTACGCGGAGTGGTGATGGACAGTAGGGGGTGGGGAGCTACATCCTTTCCACAGCCTGCTCGGGTCTGCTCCTAGCAGGGCTTGAGTGGACGATGCTGGGTGTGGGTCCACCCCATGTCCACTGCCTCCTATGGACTCCGCATTTGGGGAAACGCCTGCCTCGGGGCCAGGGGGACGCAGCTCAATGTCCCAGGAGTGGAGCCCAGGCCAGGCGCTCTGGGGAGGGGCAGTCAATACAAATAGGTCCCAAAAGCGAGCTGGAGGAGAGGCTCCCTGCCGGGACTGCTGGCTGGAAGAGGTTTAAGGCTGGGACAGCCTTGAAGAACTGGCCGGCCTAAGTGAGGCAACAGAGGGGCTGAGCTGCTGGCTGAGGTGAAAAGGCAAGCACAGCCTCTGCAGCTCTGGATCCAGCGGTGCCTGAAACTCGCCACCCATGAGCCTAGTGGTTCTGTCAGCCCCTATGTCCCCTCTGAGGGCCTGGGCAGACCCTAGTAGTGGCTGGAGAGGCAGCAGCTGGAGCACCCACCTGGGTTGGGCTGTAGGTACTCAATAGTCCGGGCCAGCACTTCGGTCACTGCCTTGCTGGTGACATCTACCTTCTGTGGAGAGACATGGCATATGAGACTCCACAGCCACTGGAGGCTCATGGTACACAAGGCCCCAACTGCCCCACTTCCTTCCCCAACAGCCACACTAGGATCCCCCAACCCCCCCCTCCATGTCTTCAGCTCAGCTACATCCTCACGGCTGCCTGCCCATCAAGTCCAGCTGACGAGGCCCCCACACCACCCCTTTCCACGCCTGCCGGGTCCCATCCACAGACTTAGGTCCGTTAGGGTTGGCCGCCTCCACTCTGCCCAGCAGAGGTCAGGCCCGGGGAAGTGCCACCACCACACGGAGAACACAGTTTCTTCCTCACCTTCTCCATCTCTTTGAAGTCATCGTCCAGCTTGGTCCCCTCAGCCCCTCCGACCTTCTCACTCACCAGCTGGAGGACAGAAGAGGGGAAATGCTGTTAGCCCAGGGGAGGAGGAAGAGGACAAGGCGCCCTGGGCCACCTTCCAGCCACATCACATCCATAGGAGGTGGCAGAAAGCCAGGCGAACAGGACACATGCCTCAGGCACTGCCGAAGGCACCCTAGGGCCACTTGCTGACGCAGAGCAGGGTGGGCCTGCAGGGGGAGTGCGGAGGTGGCCTACCCTCATCTGTGTGTCCCAACTGCCACTCACAGTGCTGCTCACACACCCACAGGGACCCCACCTCAGCCATAGTGGAGTCCAGAGCCTCAGCCTGCGAACACATGGCTCAGAAGACACTACTTCCGAAAATGCCTACATAGACATCCCCATAGATAGCAATGTGGGGATCTGCCCCCATCCTTGAATATTTTGGGTCTACTTAAAAAAGATCCTGGTCAGGCGCAGTGGCTCGTGCCTGTAATCCCAGCACTTTAGGAGGTAGAGGCGGGAAGATCACGCGGTAAGGAGATTGCGACCATTCTGGCCAACATGGTGAAACCCCGTCTCTATTAAAAACACAAAAATACGCTGGGTGTGGTGGCATGCACCTGTAGTCCCAGCTACTTGGGAGGCTGAGGCAGGAGAATCGCTTGAACCCAGGAGGTGGAAGCTGCACTCCAGCAGCCTGGTGACAGGGCGAGACTCCGTCTCAAATAAGAAAAAATCCTGCCAGCTCAGCTGGGAGAGGCAGCAGGAAGTGACAGTTTAAAAAGCAGAGGTGCAGGCAGCCGGGCAGGGAAGCCGCCACTCTCCTGCACTCTGGTGCCCACGTCTGTGGGATGAGACAGCCCGGCCCTTGCCACACGGACACTGAGGCTCACAAGGCAGTTGGCACAGGCCTGGCACACCTCAGTCCTCATGGCTCTCAGCTACAGTAACAGCAATGACAATGACATGCATGTATGGCGTCTCTCATGTGGTGGGAGGCAGAAGCAAGCACTGAATTCCCAAACCTCTGACAGCACCTGAGACAACAGCCCTGAAATATCCTAAGGAACACGTTGGAATCCTCAACCCCAGCACCGCTGTGTTAAGCACAGGAGCTGCCTTCGTCACCCCGGGCATCCCGTGTGTGCCTGGAGCCGGGAGATGCCTCACAGGGAGAGGAGGGACCTTGTGAGGCCCTTCCCAGCACACAGTGCTTCATGAGGAACCGAGTGGCTACCAGGCCCTGCCCCAAATGGAGGCTCCCAGAGGGAGGCCACCTCAGGTCACATGCTTGGTCCTGCCCTCTGGAGGCCAAGTGTCACAGGGTGTGCCATCTCTGAAGCCGTCGGCAAATTTAACGTCCTGGGTCTGGTCACTTGCGTGAAGATGCACACACGGCCTGGGCAGGAGTGTGAGGTGTTATGTGCCTTGGGCTGGTGACTGTTGACATGGGGGCTGTGGGCCATGCCCTGTGCCCCTAGACCAGGCATCTGCGGCGTTCCCCAGGTCTAGCTGGTGCTTGCCTGCCAACACCCCACCATTCTTGTCCTGGTGGTGGCTCCAAGCCGTTGCAAGACGTGGCCAAGGGATGCCGCAACTGTCCCTGTGGTGCCACACTGCATTGGCTGTGTGGGGCTGGGGGGTGTCCAACAGGGCAGTCAAGAGATCAGGATGCAGCCTGGGAAGAAGTGACCCAAGAGCAGGAAGTTGCTTGAGCCTGAGGCTCTGCCCACATCAGGCACCTGGTACACCTTCCAGCCCATACCTGGAGATCATAGCCCAGGGCACCATGAGTGCAATTGCCCCCAACCCCAAGCTTTGCAAACAGCAGCCTGCCTGGAGTACGCTGCTGCTCTCAAGTCCTGGCATCCTGCCCAGAAACACACCAGCCCCTTTCCCATAGAATTCCCAGCTCTCCTCCAAGGCTCTGCTCTGGAAGCCCCCATGACACCGGATGGGCCTCACCCATGCATGCATCAAGACCCTTTCTATCCACCGGCTGGGAGGAAACGTCAGATCCCGGGGGCTTGACAGAGTCCCACCACCTGCCCTGCTCCATGTGTCCTCTCACACTCAAGCTGCCCCAGCAGGCCTCAGCATTTGGTTTTGTAAGATGGAGATGGGGGAGGTGTGCACTTTGTGGGGCTCTGCCTTCCTGTGCAGGGTACACTGGGCATTCAGTGAGCACAGGACCCCACAGCTCTGACCCCTGTCCCGTTCCCGCCTGTGGGTTTGGTGGCTCTCAACTCAGCTGCATCTTGGAAGCTTCTTAGAAATCCCCTCACCAGATCCACAGCAGGAGGGCTGGGCTCTGGGCCCAGGAGGGGACACTGGCACAGATGAGAGGCAGGAAGGAAGCAGGAAATGGCCCTCCATTTCGCTGAAGGCGTTAGGAGGAAGGAGCCTACCTCCCTAGGTGTTTTCGGGGCATTCCACTCTATTTCTTGGGACAGTTTCAGTTCTTTTGATTGTGGCAAGAAAAGACATGCTCAGAGCCAGCGGCTGCCAGAGAGGGAAATGAGCGGCTGATGCGAGACGACCCTTCTGGGAAGCTGGGAGAACTGAAGCCAGTGGGTCGAGAAACCGCACCTTCCGGGCCGATGTCACTCCAGCCCCAAGACCTGCCCAGGCAGGACCTGGTTTGTGGGCTGGCAGGAGCGGCTCCGTTGTGGCCCTTCCCCAACCCCCCACCTCACACAGGGCAGGAAGACAGGCCCTGCCAGCGGGGACCACATCCTGCTTCTGAGGGGAGGGGCTGGGGACCCACCTGGTGGCCTCTGGTTCCGGCCCCAGCCCCACCTGCCCATCTCACCTGGGAATCCAGGAACCTGCCTTCCTAAGCCCCAGGAGCATTTCCTGAACCCCCCTGAACCCCTGCCTCCTTGTACCCCTGTCACCCAGGAGGCTGTGCCCCAACTACCCAGGTCTCTCTGCTCGGCTCCAGCCAAGTACCTCGTGGTGATTGATGGTCCCCCATGGGGCAGGCACTGGGCAGGGGATGTGACCCTTTAAGGTCCCCTCTCTCCAAGGCTCACGAGCTAGAGGCTGGCACAGATGGACACAGGGATGAGAGGCCACGAGGGAAACACGGGAAAAACAAAGCACTGGGCCAGTGCAACGCCGGCCACAGGCACGGAAACCAAGCGTGGGCTCCTGCCCTCCAGGGCCCTGCCCACTGCAGCCTACGCACCAGCACTACCAAGGATGGGGAGACCGAGAGTCTGCAGCAGAGCCGGGCGCCACGGGGGGCTCACCAGAGAGCATCTCCTGGGTCAGCGGGTGTTCCTAACCCTGGTGCCAGGCGAAAGCTGCCCATCGTGGGGCGGGCAGCCACCCCCGATGCCTCCGCATTAGAGACCCTGCCCTCGGGGAGGGAGGACTGAGGCCGTGGTCCTGGTGTCCTGCCGAGGGGGACTCTGCAGGCTGATTCTGAGCCCGACGAGTGCGGCGGACTCAGCAGTGGTAATGACAGCTCCGCACATCAGTCTCCCCATACCCGCAAGGCTCACCTCGTGTTCCCACCCTGCATGAGAGGAAACAGAGGAAAATAAGGGGGCCACTCTGTAGCCAGGGTTCCAACAGGGCTCTCAAGTTTGAAACCATCCCCCACTGACCAAGTCTGCTTTGGGGTCTCAGGTTAGTCGGGTGACTGCTGCCCACTCTCCCACACGGCCCCACCTGGACGGGGTCAGAGCACCCGCTACAGACCCCAAGTGACCAGCCTTGGGCCCCACGAGGGCTGCCGTCCTGAAAGCCACACGAGCACTTCCTCTCCCCAGTCCTGGGACAAACATAGGCTGAGCCCAAGAGGGAACACTCTCCAAGACTGCCTTTGCCTCAGGTGCCGGCTGGCCTCCCGCAGAAGCTGTGACCTGTCCCCTCCTGGAGCAAGGGGACATGGGGTTTCGCTAACCCTGCCAGGTGAGGACCAGGGCTGAGAAGTCACTGTGGGAGAGGCCCCGGCTCTGTCAGGCCTGGGAAGGAACCCACTGTTGCCTGCTGGACACTTCCCCAGGGTTTGACAAGATCGGCTCATGGTCTTTCGGGTTTTTGCCCAGAGGTGCCCAGCAGAGGCCTGCCCACTCCATGCTCACACATCCTACCTGTACCCACCACATGCATTTTCTGCCTGGGCCTGACTCTGTCACCTGTGAGCCAGGAACCTACGAAGTGAGCGAGCTGAACACGAAGATGGGGTTCCACCGCAGAGCACAGAACTCCTGTCTCCTTGGGAGAAGGGGGCTATTCCTTTGAAGTCTGGCATTCGTTAGAGTTTAGGCCTTTGGCTCTTTCTGGAGGGGAACCAGGGATGCGACGCACAGAACAGAGAATGCCTGGTGGGAAACTGTGAAGAGCTGTGCACTGAGAGCCAGGGCAGGGCTGGGGCGAGCAGAACCCCAGGTTTTACCTTGAGGGGTGTGGGTGGCTGCCCTGCACCCGGAAGGCACAGCTGTGGAGGCCACTTGGCAGGAGCAGAAGAAAAATTCCAAATCCAGCTGGCTGCTGCCAATGGACAGCCTTAGGATTTAAACATCTCAGCGGAGAAACCTGATCCCTACGACACGGAACACACATGCCTGCCTCAGGCTCGGTGCCCCGGCAGACAATTTGTTCTGATGAATTAACAGGTTTATTTTCTTCATTTAAAGAAGAAAGCCGGCCGGGCGTGGTGGCTCAAGCCTGTAGTCCCAGCACTTTGGGAGGCCGAGGCGGGTGGATCACGAGGTCGAGAGATCCACACCATCCTGGTCAACATGGTGAAACCCCGTCTCTACTAAAAATACAAAACATTAGCTGGGCATGGTGGTGCGTGCCTGTAATCCCAGCTACTCAGGAGGCTGAGGCAGGAGAATTGCCTGAGCCCAGGAGGCGGAGGTTGCGGTGAGCCGAGATCGCGCCATTGCACTCCAGCCTGGGTAACAAGAGCTAAACTCCGTCTCAAAAAAAAAAAAAAAAAAAAGAAGAAAGCCAGTGTAGGGGAGGGCAGGGGAGATCTGCTGGAGCCCAGCCTGCAGGGATGTGCCACATTCGCCTGTGGAGGGGTCAGCCCCGGGGTCCTCAGTTCTCACCACAGTCATGCTGTGGCACTCCAGAACCTCCAGGTTCACAGCAGAGGTCACCCGTCCTCCCTCGGCTAGGGAGTGGATCTCTGGCTGGTGTCCTCCTGCCTATTGGCGTCGGAGGTGCTGTGGTGCTGCCCACCCTGTGCTACAGAGCCACCTCCTCGTCCCTCCCTGCATCCCTCCTCAGCGACATCTGTGAGAGCACAGACCACAGGGGCCTCCCCCAGTGCCAGGCGCAGGGTGGAGAAATGGCAGGTGGGCACAGCTGGTCAACCACAGCAAATACTTGGGACAAGGCCTAGTCTTTTGTGTTTTTGTTTGTAAAAGAGACAGGGTCTTATTATGTTGTCCAGGCTGGTCTCAAACTCCTGGCCTCAAGCAATCCTCCTGCCCCAGCCTTCTGAAGTGCTAGGACTGCAGGTGTGACACAGTGTGCCTGACCAAGGCCGAATCTTTATAGGACTCGGGGACAGCAACTCCAGGACAGAGCATGGGTTGGGGAACTGGAGACTACAGGAGGGGTCCAGGCCCAGCCACCCTACAGGACCAGGGACAGGGCAGGCAGGACACACAGAACAAGAGCCACTGTTCACAGTCCCATATCCCAGCCGTCATGCCAGGCACATGGAGGAGGAAGCTGAGGGAATGTGGAGGAGGCGCATGCTCAGCCCTTCCACAGTAGGCGCAGTTCCAACGCTGCAGCAGTGTTCCAGATCCGGCTAGCCACGGAACAGAGTGAAGCGGGGTAGGGCTGCAGGAGCAGCACAGTCCTGAGCGGACCTGTGTGCACAACAGCTGGAGTGTGGGGTCAGGGTGGAGGCTCCGGGCAAGGGCGCAGGGATCCCTGGGGCATGGGGAAAGCCCTGACATGGGACGAGGCGTGGGGGCCAGGGGAAGGGATGTGAAGATATACTGTATCTGTGTCTCTGAGCCCCTTTCCAAATGCAGCACCCCTGCCTGCTGGCCCAGCATCTGGGAGCCCCTGCCCAAACACAGGGACACCTCCGCAGGGCCATTGCAGCCTCTTTCCCATGGTCAGAAAGTCCAAGATGCGCACAGCCTGGAGCCAGCCTGCTGCCTGGCGGCACAGAAAGCCACTGGCCTTTGTGGCTCCTTTTCCACCCATGCTCCCAGTCTCCTGCCTCGGTGACACCCTAAGATGCTGGATGCTTTCTGGAAGGGCAGGGGATGTGCACTTCTGGGAAGGTGGTGTGCAGGTGACCAGCCACCGGGGGCTTCCTGTTCTGTCCCTGCTGGAAACCTTGAGTGGCCCCAGTGGCATGGGGACTCTCCAGACCTGAGGCCCTCATGCACTGACTATGAAAGCTCACCTAACAGAGGTCAGCTGGCTGCAGGCAGCTCTGAGCTTTCCCATGACAGTAAACACCCGACATGGACGGGATTGTGGCCTGGAGGCTCCAGGTCTGGGGCATGGACAGGATTGCGGCCTGGAAACTGGGTCTGGGGCATGGGCAGGTTTATGGCCTGGGGACTCCGGGTCTGGGACTTGGACTGGGTGGTGAACAGGGGTGGGGGTGGCGTTCCGGGTCTGGGAGCCTGCAGGGCACCCCCAGATGAAAAGCAGGAGCCCCCATTCCTGAACATTCATAGGGAGGAGGACAGGAATGGGAGGGAGAGGTGCAGTGGGAGGAGGCCACGGGAGCACCACAGGTACCAGGCACCCTTCACGGCCTAGCGGCGAGGAGTCAAGATGCCAGAAACCTGCTCCCCAGCCCAAGGGAAGATGGAAGGAGACTCTGCTCACCAGGGAGAAACCTCAACCCCCAGTGTTCTTGTAAAACCTCGGGGCTGACTGGGCAACTGCCCGCTGTGTGTGACGCAGGGAGGGATCCCGATAGCCAAGCTCCCTTCAGTGTCCAAGAGTTCAGAAAGCCCTGATCTGCCACTGTCCTTCGAGCCTCCAACCTCTCAGCAGAGATATCCCCTCCTATCCATCGAGTCTGAATGGTTTTTAAAAAGCAGCTTCAGGCTGGGCGCGGTGGCTCAAGCCTGTAATCCCAGCACTTTGGGAGGCCGAGGCGGGTGGATCACGAGGTCAAGAGATCGAGACCATCCTGGTCAACAAGGTGAAACCCCGTCTCTACTAAAAATACAAAAAATTAGCTGGGCATGGTGGCGCGTGCCTGTGATCCCAGCTACTCAGGAGGCTGAGGCAGGAGAATTGCCTGAACCCAGGAGGCGGAGGTTGTGGTGAGCCGAGATCGCGCCATTGCACTCCAGCCTGGGTAACAAGAGCGAAACTCCGTCTCAAAAAAAAAAAAAAAAAAAAAAAAAAGCAGGCTTTGGGAATGGGCTTGCTGAAAACAATGAATCAGGACAAAGTTTCTGAAGTCGTTTTCCCATGGAAACCCCAAACCAGATGCCGCCACCATGGCCAGACTGGGCCCTGGGGACAGCCACAGACTCTCTGTGGCAGGTCAGGGGCTCCTTTGGGAACTAAGCTCTGCCAGCAAAAGGACAGTGGCTTTGGAAGCCCCAGGCATCCTCTCAGCCAGAGGGGTAGTACCTTGGGCCTGGGCTGGCTGCTGAGATTCTGGCTCTGGATTGGAACCAGAATGGGCTCTGCCCCAGGCTAGGCCGCAAAGGGTTCCCTGAGAGCCCGGTTCCCCACGGCCTCTAGGCTGTGGGGACAGGCCTGCCACAAACTCCCTGGCCAGAGGTGGGACTGGATGCCATGGTAGGGAAAGAGACCTGGGCCCTGGGGGCTTTGGTCAGGCCCGGCCACTGCAGTTTCTAAATCGCCTCAGGGGGGCGTTTCTGCCACCTGTGGTGCTGGCCATTCATGCCACCTCTCAGGTTGCCTGCACCCTGCTCTGCCTGGCTCCTGGCTCTCGGAGCTAAAGAAAGGACTCTCAGGTTGGCAGAGGGAGGTAAATGCTTTGCTGTGTGCGCAGCAGCGAGCCTATGCCATTTGAAGTCACAGCCACTGCTCTCCTGCCTGGTACATGACAATGGCAGGGAGAAAAAACCTTAGGCAAGAGAAATACTCCAGAAGTCACCTGGGGCCCCATCCAAGAGTCTGAGGCTGACACATCAGGGGAACTGGAAGCAGAGGGAATCGGTCACCAGAAAGAAGTCACCCAGACGGAAGTGCCAATGGTCACAGGAGGGAATCGCTTAGCGGCGGCCACAACAGGGCTGCGGACAGGGTTGAGGACGCAGCTCTGTCAGCACCCCAAGACAGAAAAGGGCCAGCCAGCCGTGGTCTATGACGGTGAAGGCAGCCCCAGGGTCCAACAACCCTCTCCTGTGCTGACAGAGAAGTCACCAGCGAGGGTCCAGCCCGCACCTCCTTTCTGATGAGGCCTCCAGCTCTGGCTGCTGACTTTAAACCCCAAGCAACCCTGCACAGGGCCTAAGTCCCAGAAGGCCTCTACCCACCTGAACCTGGCCTGTCCGCCCTAGCTGGGGCGATCAATGTTCCTCCCCAGCCAGCCTC